TGGTCAACAAAACTTAAAAAAAAAAAAAAAACGTTGCCGAAATGGCCATACTCCGGCCGGAAAAGAAGAAAAAGAAACAAAAAAGAAAAAAAAAAAAAATAATAATATTAATAAAGTACCAGATTCATCGATTCATTTAATATTGATTATATTTTATCGTAAAGCTTTTGAAATATGTTGGTATACCAAAAAAACAAAAAAAACGCTCTGAAATATTTTTATTTTTCAACAAGTACCTTTTTAAAAAACCTTCAAAGGTAACAATTATTTTTCTTGCAGAACAAAAATACGAAAAGGCCCAAAAAAAAAAAAAAAAAAAAAGAAAAGGTTAAAGTTCATACTTAAAATAAAACTCACCTGCTTGACAATTTCTGCTAGATGGAAAATCTTTTTTTTTTTTGTTACTGAAATGCTTGTTTGGTAAAGTATTCTTGGAACGGAACTGGATTCATAAGCCTAGCTAGTATTGGTTCTTATTGCATCTCCTAATTCAATTAGGATTCTACTTTAGCATGCTATGCTATATTTAAAGTTAACTGTATAGAGCACACCCCCTAGCAGTATTAGAGTACGCCTCACTTGCCTTATATTTTACCTAGCAAGCCTGGGGGATTCGTATTACTTAACCCTGAAGACAAGAGAGCCTATTGTTAGGAGGCGACAAACATTATCAAAAATACAAGAGAAAAAAAGAATTTTAAAAAAAATGGACGACACCGGAATTGAACCGGGGACCTCTCACATGCTAAGCGAGTGTGATAACCAACTACACCAGACGCCCTTTAACTTGTTTGTTTAATACCTAAGAATTAAATAAGACAAATTATCACAACAAGAGTATTTCTATTCTAAAGCTTAGACAGTGTTGAAAAAACACAAATTGTTGATATAGAACAGGCAACAACCATTATGGTAGTTATGAGTTTGGGTTTTTGGTTTGTGCCAAGCTTTTCATTTAATGTTGAACTGAAGGGTGGAACTTTGGAATCTATCTACTAGGTACGATTCCTCAAGGAGTGTCTTCTGCACCCTGCAGAGCGAGACTTGTTGAGGAAAGTTTCCCCGGAGCTTGATACCAAGAAGGGTCTTGGTGCGGTAGTCAAGTTCTTAGATTCATTACCGCAACTTCTTTGCTGATGGTTCGCTTAATTAAGCAGCTTGTTAAGGGTTTACTGGGTGTCAATCTCTGGTATTGAGCTACTGGGTGTTAGGTAGATGATCAGTTTATTGTCCTTACATCAAATGTTTTTGAAATTTCATGTCTTCTTTGTATGTCATTTTGTTTTGTAATTTTGTATGTAACCATTTGATGTAAGGACAATAAACTGATATTTACTTACTTAATCTAATGATGTATGACAATAAACTGATTTTCTATCTATTAGTTGTACAATTTTTTGAAATCCGTTTCTGTCCTCCATTTGTTACCCCATTTACGAATCGACAGAATGAGTACAATCAATAACAGACCCAAAAGACCCCATAATGTGTAAAGCCAACCAAAACCCAAAGGTGATTGCCGCATTGGTTGAAAAATAAAAGTTGCGGTTGCTGCTAATGTCATTCTCACCAAATTATTGATTGCAACACCCGAGGAGCCTCTTCCTGGTAAGGTATCTACCATGTAAGTTATGCAAGAGCTCATGATAATAATAGAAGAAATTCCAAACAAAAATGAAGCAATTAATGGAATGACCCAAAATAACCTGTATTGCGCAGTCCATCCAAAGAAAATAAGTGATAATGGATAGAGTATAGCACCAAAAAATACATTTGCTGCAAAACGAGATTCTGGTATAAAAATGCCATTATTTGCAGCCTTAACTCTTCTCACCACTTTGTCGCTGTACCGGCCAGATAAAATACTTGAAATAATATACCCAATTGTAAGGGGGAGGTATGTGAGGCCGATAAGTATAGAAGAAAGTCGATATGGTGCAGCGGTATATAGAGATTCCAAGGAAACTTCCAGGAAAAAAAGACAAAAACAGCAATATCCATTATATATTACTGCTAGTATGACAGGAGGGTACGTTAAAAACTTGAGCGTTTTTAGCGGCTTGATAAACATTATAAAAGCTTTTTGAGACAGCTTCGCCGAGTTGAAAATTTCCAATGCTAGTAATTCTGGTGCAGTATTTGATACTATTGCTTCGGTAGTTACTGCATCATCTTTTTTGGTATTTTCATTTAAGATTTCTGTTAGATTGTTTGGACTAGAAGAAGTCGGGGCTGCGATTTCTTGCAGTGTCTCTGGTACAAAAAATATCACCATGGCTAACATCACCACGCTAGCAATAGCAAGAAACCATTGAGTACTTCTCCAGCCCCATTTTTGTACAACAGCTCCGCCAACTATTGGTCCAATTAGTGGACCTACCATTGGACCCAGATAAAAATATCCCATGGCAACACCCCGCTTTGTTGGAGGAACCATGTCGCTAACCGTGCCAGCACCAACAGATTGTATTGCTGAGGCTCCTAAACCTGAGAGTATCCGAAATGCCATCAACATTCCAATCGATGAAGACCTGGATGCTGCAATTACAAACCCCAAAAAAATTGAGAAGGACACAATGTAGATTGATCTTCGTCCAAAGATTTCGCTTGCATTTGACCACCACAAAGGGAAAACTCCAAGAGAAAGAGTATACAGACCATAAGAGATATTTACCAGGCCTTTTGCGCTTGGATTATTGTGTCCTATATCAGCTAGAACGGATTCCATTGCAGGTAAAAATATTGTACTTCCCATGGGGCCAATAATTGCTCCAAATGCAATGGCAAAAATAATAGTAACCTGAGACCTTTTTGAGTAGGTGTTGGGGTCTACCTGTTCGGGAATCAAACACATGAAAGACAGCAAGCCACGCCGTTTCTTAAGCGACACAATAGCACCCGTGGTATCTTTGATATTGTTGTCGTTTTCAAGGCTCATTGTCTTTGGTAAACTCTGCGTACTATCTGTAATTTCAACACCTGTCATGGATGAAAAATGAAACTAAAATGAAACAAAAAAAGATTGACCGATAACTTGAAGAACACACTGATTTTAGAATTCATCATGCGCAAAGTATTGATTTAAATATTTACTTCAAGAAAGAGGCCCTCTCTTTAATATATTATGAATGATTTTAGGCGATGTATTGTATTTCCATCATGGTGACCAGTCATCATAAAAGAGTCTTTCAATATAATTTTAACTCTAGAAAAGACTCAGACAAAAAGGAGATAATTTCTAATTATTATTCCAACAGCGAAATGCTACGGCGCAATTACTAAATAAGGAAACTATTTGAAAAAAAGCTTTTTTTCATTATAATTTTTTCAATGATAGTGGGATGTGCTTTTGGAAAGTACAAGACGTTTCTGTATTTAATAGTGCTGAATTCACTACCTGGATATGCCAGAGGAAATCCAAGATGCGTAACGCCGGATAGACTGATACTAGAAAATTCCAAACTAGAAAACAACAAGCTGTTCTAGTTAAACAGGTTAACAGTAACTCAAATGCAATGGCTGTCATAATACCTAAAATTTATTTTTAAAAATCAAAAAGTTGACAATCAAATTCGGGTGATAATTTCCCCCTCCCCCCCAAAAAAAAGTTTACGCTTTGTGACATATTGAGTACACAATTTCGAGACGCCTTCAAGTTGGCCCAACTAGCTACAGTACAAAAATTGTTTGGTTAGGACCTCTTGTAATATTTTACAAGTGTCACTGTCTATAGAAAGCTGGATTAGTCTGCTTATTGTATGACGAAATGAACTTTAGTGAAAGGTGTTAGTAGGTTGGGGCATCTCTCAGGGCTTTCTCTCATTGAAAAAAAAAAAAAAAAATTCAATTTCTCTATAAGCTTTTAAAATCTCTTGTCTTTTTTATATAATCTTTTCATCCAATTTTTTTAATACGATTTTAACATTCGCAGTACAGTTATGCAGCAAGCTTCTGCAATCACAACTTGTTCCAACATCTATCATCACCAACGCCTTCTATTGCTTAATTTTACCAAAAAGCTGCACAAGATATAACTCCATAATGATGCTAGGTTGAATGGCTAATTTACTATGAAGCTTTTCTTCCATTTTGTCCCTGTACAAAGGTGAGTCATCAGCGACAATCAGCATTTTCTTGATAGGTAGATAATCAATTTATTGCCCTTCCATCAAATAGTCACATACGAAACTATAAAACAGAATGGCATACAAAGAAAACATGAAATTTCAAAGACATTTGTCTCTATGAGACTGGCAAGGTAGCAGTGTCGGCACATATTATAATTTTAGATGTTCGATTGCGCCTAATTCTCCATGAATAATTTCATATGTTATGCATTCTCTTGAAATATAGATATATATATAGATAGATAATCAGTTTATTGTCCTTACATCAAATAGTTACATAAAATTACAAAACAAAACGATATACAAAGAAGACATGAAATTTCAAAAACATTTGTCTCTATGAGACTGGCAAAGTAGCGGTGTCAGCGCGCGCAATGAGTTCAGACGTTCGATGGCGCCGAATTCTCCATGAAAGTATCCATGTGCTAAGGGAAACCTGAGATACATAACACCCAGTAGCTCAATACCAGAGATTGACACCCAGTAAAACCTTAACAAGCTGCTTAATCAAGCGAACCATCAGCAAAGAAGTTGCGGTAATGAATCTAAGAACTTGACTACCGC